CGTGTTAATATTTCATTATATATTGTTGGATAAATAAAAGTGTAAGACCATTACAGTGAATCATTATAGCATTGATTGTAGAAAAGACTGTTTGAGCCTGAGTACAGTGTAACTAAGTAATTCGGTTTATTTGTGCCAATATCGAGTGTGCGAGTTTCTAGTAATATTGGAGAATTTAAAGAAACCGCGCGCGTGAATCTAGCAAACAAGCAAATTTCGCGCGGAGTGACCATTTCGATCAGCTGTTTTTGACACTTGATGAGGAGGGGAGAGTGGTGCCCTCTAGCGGTCGCATAATATCCGTGGGAATTACCGGCCGAGTCAGGATCAGTTGATTAATCAATTATTGTGTGGCCTTGTGACATCTTTCATACATTTTAAGTAAAATACAAAACTCTCTTTGTGTTTTTATCATCCCCTCCATTGATCTTGTGGCTATACTAAATCTGTAAGCATAGAGTGATAACAACAAGTACCTGCCTGATTCCTGATCTTTGAGTATGACCTTGCCAAGGCTACCACTGAATACACCAGTCCACTGATGGTGTTATTGGCCACCTTAAACACCAATTGGCGACCTTGTGATTAACCGTAGAGCCCTATTGTTGGGGAGGGCACACGACAGTCGATGTGATCGAGTCGTGTTCTCACTCTTTCTTAATAAGAGGCCGTTAAGATTGACTGGGAAACTCTCCTGGCGTGCAGTGGCGCCGTGAGGATCGAGGGAAGACCCGCAGGGCTACGGTGAGTTACCTTGAGCGTAACTATTGCTCACCCCAGAGTAAGGGTAGAGAATAATAGAGAGGTGGAAACCCCCAACAATACAAATATTTATAACAAACAAGTAAATAAACTATAATGATTAATTGGTGCCTTGGACAGGGTCATCAACTTGTAACGCTTGTCATCCTCAAAGTCACTTCCAAAATTGAGTTAATCAACACCTCAGGATATTATGGCAGATACGAATTTGTTTTTATATTTATTTTTAAAACAAATTACATTACAAGTATACATACAATATAAAGGTACCGAAGTACCAAAATAAAACCGAGCATCACCACACCACACAACAACATAACACTGTATGTCAGAAATGCAACATAAAACATTAAAAATATAAACTTCACAACAAAATTCAGAACAACAATGAACACATAATAAAAATAAACACAGATCACAAGGTACACAGAGTAAATAACGTAATGTGAAAACATTAAACAGAACAATAAGAAACTGCACTACCCAGACGGGGCGTGTCAAATATGGACATTTTAGGAGGTGGAGTAGCCATATATGTTAGGGACAATTTGAAATGTAGTCTCAAAGAGGGAATCAAAACAGAGCCACACACAGAGACTATTTGGATTGAATTAAACGAAAAAGCTAATAATATTATAATAGGAGTAATATATAGGCCACCAAATTTAGACAGAATGGAAGCAAAGCATCTATGGGATGAAATATCTAGAGCATCTAGATCTAACAGTATTTATGTCATGGGTGACTTTAATTTTAGCGGAATAAACTGGTTGAACAAAACAGGGAATAGTGAAGCAGAAGATTTTCTAGAATTAATTGACGATTGCTTTCTTACGCAACACATTAAGGAACCAACACGGGAAAATAATATTTTAGATTTAGTGTTAACTAACAGGGAAACGCAAATTAATGACATCGAAATAGGGAGTGAGCTAGGGAGCAGTGATCACAAAGAAATCAGATTTAGCATAGAATGGAATAGACCAGTAGGAGAAAATTCTGTTAAAGTGCCAGATTTTCGAAAAGCTGATTTTAATAGCCTAAGAAATTTTTTGGGTCAAATTGATTGGAAAGGCTTGGGTATGGGGTGTGGGCCGGTCTTGGAGCGAGACATGAACCCAGCGATAGGTGACTTAAATGGGGATTTCGATGTGGATTCAATATATAACTTATTTAAGAATATTCTAAACAAAGCACAGGAACGTAGTATACCATACAAATTGAATAGATCGTATACTAATGACCCAAAGTGGATAACAAAGAATTTGAAGAACCTTATAGGTAAAAAGAGAGCTTGGTACAAAAGGATTAAAAATGGGGAGGTCACTTTAGAACAGGAATTCGTACAACTGGTTAGAAATGTTAAAAAAGAGATAAGGAAAGCAAAAAGAAACTATGAAGTTCGCATAGCAGGGCAAGCAAAGACAAATCCTAAAGGGTTTTTTCAGTTATATCGTACTAAGACTAGGAAAAGGATAGGTCCATTAAAAACTGAGACAGGTCAAATAACAGATAGTGATGAAGAGATGAGTAGTATTTTTAATAAATATTTTGTATCTGTATTTACTAAAGAGGAACTTAACAATATGCCTTCAGCCGAACAAGTCTATGTGGGTGGGGACGTGGACAGGTTGACGAGTTTAGCAGTTACCAGGGAGGATGTTCTTAAACAAATAGTTAAACTCAAACCAAACAAATCCCCAGGGCCGGATGAAGTGTTTGCTAGGGTGCTTAAAGAATGCAAAGAGGAGCTTTGTGACCCACTGTCAACCATATTTAATAAATCAATAGAGTCAGGCAGAGTGCCAGAGTTTTGGAAAGTTGCTAATGTGATACCAGTTTTTAAGAAAGGAGATAGATCACTTGCGTCTAACTATCGACCAATTAGCCTAACGTCTATTGTGGGAAAGTTACTCGAATCTATAATAGCAAATAAAATTCGTCTTCATCTTGAAAAACATAAATTAATAATTGAGTCGCAACATGGTTTTATAAATGGCCGTTCATGTTTAACAAATTTGTTATCTTTTTATTCTAGCATTGTTGAGGCAGTTGATAGTGGTAAGGATTGCGATGTTGTATACCTTGACTTTAGCAAAGCTTTTGATACAGTGCCACATGAAAGACTGATTAAAAAAATAGAGTCTCATGGTATTGGGGGTGCTATATTAAGCTGGATTAGGCATGGCTATACCAAAGGAAACAGAGAGTTAGTATAAATGGAATCAAGTCAGAGTGGGAAAATGTTGTAAGTGGAGTGCCTCAAGGCTCTGTCCTGGGACCTCTGTTGTTATAATATATATAAATAATTTAGATTCAGGTTGAGTAGCAACATTTGCAAATTTGCCGATGATACGAAAATCGGTAGGGAAATTAATTCGGAGGAGGACTCACTATCACTTCAAGTTGATCTAGATAGGGTTTTGAAATGGTCAAAGGATTGGCAGATGCAGTTTAATGCTGATAAATGTAAAGTTCTGAGGTTAGGTAATGATGATAGAGTTACAAGATACGAGCTAGATGGTGTTGTGATTGCGAAGTCGGATTGCGAAAGGGATCTGGGAGTTATGATTAGTAAGAATTTAAAACAAAAGGATCAATGCATAAATGTTCGTAATAAGGCAAATCGGACACTTGGATTTATTAATCGCAGCGTTAGTAACAAGACACCTGGTGTGGTTCTCAAGCTATATCTTGCTCTAGTTAGGCCCCATTTAGATTATGCAGTTCAGTTTTGGTCGCCATATTATAGAATGGATATAAATTCACTTGAACGTGTCCAGCGTAGGATGACTAAGTTAATTCCCCAAATTAGAAATCTTTCATATGAAGAAAGATTAACAAAGCTTAAGTTGCATTCACTGGAAAGGCGAAGAGTTAGGGGTGACATGATAGAGGTTTACAAGTGGATGAATGGACATAACCGGGGGGATATTAATAGGGTATTAAAAGTATCAACACAGGACAGAACACGAAACAATGGATATAAATTGGATAAGTTTAGATTTAGGAAAGACTTGGGTAAATACTGGTTCAGTAACAGGGTTGTTGATTTGTGGAACCAATTGCCGCGTAACATTGTGGAGGTGGGGTCCCTCGATTGTTTCAAGCACGGGTTGGACAAGTATATGAGTGGGATTGGGTGGTTATAGAATAGGAGCTGCCTCGTATGGGCCAATAGGCCTTCTGCAGTTACCTTTGTTCTTATGTTCTTATGTTCTTCTTATTAAACTACAAAAGTGCACAAAAGAAAAACACCCGAAACGAAAGTAACAAAACATAAAAACAATTCAAAACACACATACAACACACGGAACATATGGTACATACCATACAACAAATAACGCCCGACCAGAACACACAGGAACTGGGAAACTAAGCGACAACCACATCCCAAACACACATCAAAGAAAATACCGGAACACGCAGGAACCGGCAAAGGAAACATAACACACACTCAAACATATTCACGAGAAAGCATACACACACACAAACATAACACCATAATTAACACAACACAGAAGACAACATTCAAACACACACAAGAAAAACCACAGCACAGTATAAGCAAAACACAAACAAAACATCTAAATACAACGCCTAAACGAGGCGAGCCAAAAACACAGATACAAAACATACATATAACAGACAAGGCAACAATTAGAAAATACAAGGAGGATGAAATGCAAGCACACACACTATGCATATTTATCGGGAACTCCTGCATCGGAAATCCCAAGCAGTAAGCCTCCCAAATTAGTATGACGTCATCGAGCACCAGCTACCAGGAGACGCACAAGGCCGAGGCATCAGATCCAGCACCCCATAAAGAAATTCCTTTGCATGCAGCACCCAAATAGTAGAGGAACACCATGGGACCGAACGCCCCAACCACCAGGCACAGGAGCAGAGGCCTCCCGGTGCACATCCTTCTTCAGCACCACGACGAGGTCACGATCGCCGGGGGTAATCTCCCACGGAGGGAAGCTTACAGCAGGATGCGCAGGGGGCGACACAGGAGGCAGCACAGTGCCCCCCCCCCACAGCACCATCAACCACAACGTCACACTCGGCAGCCCCCTCACGAGGGTGTGACACACTCCGAGCCGTCCGAGAACGCTTGGACACAGGTCGCTGATCATCCAAACTGTCACCTCCAGCAGGAAGCATCCGAGTAGAGAACTCGGCTGGCCGCACCACACCATGCAAAGTGCGAGCCAGAAATACAGCAGCCTCACCAACAGGGGGTACGAGCCCTCACCCCACAGGCGACAAAGGAACTAGAGGCAGTGCAAGTGGGGTCGGCGGAGGTGAGGGGGCAAACAGAGGCGTTGGAGCCGGCTGATGCCAGGAAGCCGACGGCGTGGGGTTCATCTGCACCCACCACCACCCCGACACCCACACCTCCAACTGCACTTACGGGAACGACATCCGAGGAACCTGGTAACACCACCGGGGCAGCAGACGGCAGGGAATCCTTCCCCACCACATCAGCATAAAGGAAACTCATCGTCCCCCCTCCAACAGCAACTCAGCAGGACAGACTCGAGCCCCATCAGGAAGGACCAAGGAAACAGCACTCGCAGAACACAGATTGGCATCATCCAACACTGCATCCGTCCTCACACAAGGGGCACTACCAAGAACCGAGAGATCCTCCTTCTCAGGCAAAGGAGTAAAATCCACTTCATGAAACACGTTAACCCGTTCATACATGAGAGTGTTACAGGCAGCAGCCAAATTTCCAACGTGGCCACACTTAAAACATGTTCGAGTTTGCCCACGGTAGAAGAAGCAGACCGTAAAGCCAGTAATCATTAGAGAAGAAGGCACATTCCCACGAAGAACCATCTTAACCGTCCTGTAGCCATTATTGAGCCCCTTGACGTCGCCGGACGTGTGCTTACACACACGAATAAAGTCCACACGGCCATACCTGGCAAGAGCCCGACGGAGAAGATCCTCAGACATTTCAAACGGCGCATTCTTAATAGACACGTATGTGGACTCCACACTCAAATTCGTCACAGTCACATTGCTTTGACCGTTCCTCAGCCGCACCTCCCGATCCTCATACTGGTCAAGAAACTTCCTGAACAAGCCAATCGCGGCGAACTTCACAACCACTCTGTCCTCACGAACGACCTGAAGATCAGCGATATCTTCCACTGTAACGTCCATAACGTCAAACAGTGTTGCTGACAACACCATTATCCACCCGACAGGTAAATGCCAGCCCAGCCGGCTCCTTCTTCCGCAGTGGTGGCACGTAAGTCCCCATACTGAGACTGAAAAACTGTCACCCCGGAGTGGCAAACCACCACTCGGTAGGACAACTGACAATCGTCCAATGTAAACACCAGCCAGGAGCAGAGACCTCAGGAACGTCCGACTCGGCTGGTGGTTGCCACCACACTGCAGCAGATATCAAATGGCAGATTTTGTATCATATCAATACAAAAATCATTGTGAATATATCAAACTTGTTATGATCATCATTTATCAGGAACCTGCATAAATGTATTTAAATCAATATACAGACAATAGCCTAGGAATATAACACAATGTCACCATCAGAGACAGCTGGCTCAGGAAATGTTATTCTTCAGTGAAGTCTCTGTTTACCAAATTGTTACTCACTAGGCAGTCGTTCTCTTGTTTATTAATTTACTGGGCAAAGGTCACTTAATCACCAGGACTAGGCTTCAAAATATAAATCAATAAAATGAATAAATACTCTCCTCCATTCACAGTATATCTGTACACTTGATGTCATACACCTGACTCTTCAAATGGATGTAAACTCCTTACAGATCCTGCACACCAAACTTCAAGTTTACCTCAACAAAATAATCGCTTTTCATGAGCAACTATAAAGTCATTAAAATGAACTCCTCCAGCACTCCACACATCAGCTGGCCCTCACGGCGAAGGGTACTCCCACCGCTGGGCGAGTCCACACTAGAAATTTCTGCCTGCATTTGCCCACTATTCAACCTGTCCTCCTGCAAAGAACGTCGCTTTTCACTCGTATGCATTACATAAGGCCAAAAATTTTAATAGAAAATGGCAGCGGCTCGTGAAAGTGATATACTGCACCCGTTTTCTGTTTTGGGTCCTCTGGTAGGTTAGGAGAGGACACTCTAAATAGACTGTTTTCTTCATGTTGGAAAACCTTAGGATGGCAGGCTGAACAAATAGTTGATCGCTGACCTCCACTGAGCAAATATGTGTCGTTCTTGCCTCAATCAGCTATTTCATCTTAATACTCCATTATCACTTCATAATCATTACATGCATGACTAATTCATGTACCTAAACCACTAGTATACAAGATCATTTATAAGAACAAAACATTCGAATAGGCGCATGTTTTTAAATACCTACTTTTATACATGTCTCATCTATGACGAGGAAAAACATGCTTTTTTTGAAAAAAAAGTGCCATCTGTTGGACGTAAGAGCAACACACATTGCAATCTCTGAAAGTTCTTCACAGATTGCTTTGAAATTTTGATACAACATTCCATTCCAATATGCGCGTGTTTTTATGTACCTTTATATTTAGATGCCACAAATGTGAAAGGTAAAATATATATTTTTTTTTAACAGCACCATCTGTTGTGTTTAATAGAAACAGACGCTATTCTAAATATGTTACAATTCCATTTCAATGTTTCAATTTGCACTGATAAATTAAATTTTCATTGATTTCGACTTATTTTCATTTTGATTTAATTATTTTGAGCGACATTGTATTGGAATAGAGCTGTGTTGTTTACCATACCGTTCATTTTGAACATATAAGTATAGATGCCACACCTGTTAGAGGTAAAAATCAATCTTTTTTTTTTTAAGAAACAGCGCCATCTGTTGCACGTAAGAGCAACACACGCTATCTATATAAATAAAAAGGTAAATGTTCGTTTGTTCAAAAGCACTAATCTCCTAAAGTTCTTCACCGATTGCTTTGAAATTTTCACACAACGTTCCATTCACATCCGAGCGAGTTTATATATACCTACTATATAGATGGAACGTCTGTGACGGGAAAAAGCATGCATTTTTGAAAAACTGTTTTTCATGTGAGGGAAATCTTTGAAACCTCTTTACCGATTGCTTTGAAATTTTGACACATTGTTGCATTCGAATAGGTGCATGTTTTTTATATACGTACTATATACATGCCTCATCTATGACAGGGGAAAAAAACATGCTTTTTCTGAAAAACAGTGTAATCTGTTGTAGGTAACAGCAACACACGCAGTATTCTTCAAAATGCCATGCTGGGTTCTTTACTGATGGCTTTGAAATTTTGACACAACTTTCCATTCGAATACGAGCGTGTTTTTATATACCTGCAATATAGATGCCACACCTGAGAAAGATAAAAACATGTTATTTTTTTAAACAGCACCATCTGTTACACGTAATAGCAACACACGCTATTCTAAATATGTTACAATTCCATTTCAATGTTTCCGATTGCATTGATAAATTTAATTTTCATAGATTTTGATTTATTTTCATTTTGATTTAATTATTTTCTGTGATATTGCATTGGAATTGAGATGTGTTGTTTACCATACCGTTCATTTTGTGAGCATAGTTATTTTTTTATTTATTTTTATTTTTTTTCATTTCTTTTTAACTGTTTTTCTTATATTTCAGTGACGAAATCAGAACATCAGATCATTTGATGTTTCAAATTTTTTTGATGAGAACATCAGATCATTTGGAAGTGCATCAAACGAGTGAGTGAGGAATGGTGGAGAGGACAAAACAATGGGAGTGGGGGATGGTGGGGGAGGACGAGGGGACAGGGGAAAGGGGGTGGAGTAATGGTGGGGTGGACAAGGGGACGGGAGAGTTGGGGATGGTGGGAACGAGGGGACAGGGGAATGGAAAATGGTGGGGATGACAAGGGGGCAGGTAAGTGGGGGATGGTGAAGAGGACGAATGGTAGGGAGGAAAAGGGGGGAGTGGGAGATGGTCGGGAAGACGAGAAGACGGTAGAGTGGAGAATGGTTTAGAACATGAGGGGTCGGTGGAGTGGGGGATGGTGAGGAGGACAAAAGTGACGGTGGAGAGGAGGGGAAAATAGTGGGGGAGGATGAGGGGATTGGGGAGTGAGGAATGGTTAGAAGGATGAGTGGACGGGGGAGTCAGGAATGGTTGGGAGGACGAAAGGATGGCGGTGGGGATGAATAGTGGGAAGGACTGAAAGACAGGGGAAGGGTACTGTTACTGAGCAATGCACATGCGTTGCTGAGCCACAGCAACACGTGGCTGGGTACAGCTAGAATATAAATAAATATAGAAATGTTCGTTTAGTTAAAAAATCGCTAATCTTCGAAAGTTCTTCACCGATTGCTTTGAAACTCTCACTCAACGTTCATTTCGCATCTGAGCGGGGTTTTATATACATACTATATGGATGTCACATCTGTGACGGGAATAAACATGCTTTTTGAAAAACTGTGTTTTTTCATGTTTTCCTTGTGACGGAAATCTTCTAAATCTTTTTACCGATTGCTTTCAAATTTTGACACAACGTTGCATTCGAATAGGCGCGTGATTTTATATACCTACTATATACATGCCTCATCTGTGACAGGAAAAACATATTTTTTTTTTAAACAGCGCCATCTGTTGGACGTAAGAGCAACACACACTGTAATCTCCGAAAGTTCTTCACCAATTGCTTTGAAATTTTGACAAAACGTTCCATTCAAATACCCACATGTTTTTATACACCTACTATATAGATGACACCTACACCTACTATATAGATGCCTATTTTTTTTTTTTTTTTTTCTATTTTGCAGGGATAATCCTGCGCGGGCCCTAAGCCTCTAGCTGGCCCACTAAGTGTTGCTTGTTTCTGTTTTACTTGGGCGGAGGATGAGTATTTATGACTCGTATGGTCGCTTCAGTAAGATTTTGCCATATGTGTTTAACAACTTCCTCTGCTCTGTTGAATCTAAGTTGAAATCTTAACGGGTTTGTAACTGTGCACTGTGTTAGATAATGTTCCAGTGGTCTGTCGGGCATTTCTCCACAGTGTTGACATTTCCTCTCATCTTCCGGAACCTGTAAGCCTATTTCCCATGCACATGGGTATCCAAGCCTGATGCGATGTAAGTGCACTTCTGTTGTTCTACAGCCCCCTTTCATCAAACTAAGTGGTTCGTAGTTGGTGAAATTCTTGTACCAACCCGCAGATCCTGATGTTGCAACTGCTGTGGTGTGGTCATTGTACATCTTTTGCATTGCTCTGTTTCGAATTACTTTCTTCATCTGGGATAGACTCTGTGGTATGTAAATGTCTACATTTCTCCTCTTAGTAGCAAGTTTTGCAGCTTCGTCTGCAATGTCATTTCTTATTAGCCCCACATGACTTGGCACCCAGTTGATAAGTACCCGTCGGCCTTGTCGTTTGAGTGCGTGCATGAATGATAAGACATTTGTGATCAGATGGATGTTATCACATATGTGTTCTTGTTGCAA